TATAGGGTTTAGGACCTGAGGACTTGCAGCGCCCGGCGAATGTCTCCGTAGAAATTCGCAATCTTCCTGGCGCAGACTTTAATTGCTGCGCTGTACGTACACACCCAAACCCTAAACCCTAAACCCTAAACCCTAAACCCCCAACTATAACCCCCAATCGTAGCTAAATTTGCGCGGGAAGCTTTCAGTTCCGAGCCCTCAGAGGCAGTGCCTAGACCTTTGCGTGGACCCCAAACCCTAAACCCTAAACCCTAAACCCTAAACCCTCGCCGCACTCCGCGAAGAGATCTTTGCAGTCCTGCAGCCGCTCCAAAATGATGTCCTCGATTTGCTCGCTTGTGTAAGGATTAAAAGTCAGACGCCCGAAGCCTGAGGGCCCAGACAGCAGCTAGCTAGCTAGCTAGCCACAAGCGGCTAGCTAGATGGCTAGCTAGCCACAAGCAGCTAGCTGGGCAGCTGCAGCCAGCTCGCCAGCCCTCTAGAGCTGGCTAGCTACGCACAGCTAGCTGGCAAGCTACTCAGAGCTAGCTGGCTAGCTATGCGCGGCTAGCTGGCTAGCCATGCACAGCTAGCTGGTTACCCATGCACAGCTAGCTAGTTAGCTACTCACAGCTAGCTAACCAAATGTCTGCGCCGATAGATAGGCAGCAAGTAACTCTCCTATTTAGCTCGAAAGGCATTCTACCGGCTAGCTAGCTACTGGCCAGCTAGCTAGTGGGCTGCCTGCACTTCTGGCTAGCCAGCCAGCCAGCAAGCTAGCTAGCTACCTATCTGGTAATCTGTCAAGCTAGCTGGCTTGGCAGCCGCCTCCCTTGCTCCCTCGCTATCTCCCTGGCCAGCTAGCTAGCTAGCTATCTAGCCGGCTAGCCAGCTAGCCAGCTAGCTATCTATCTAGCCAGCTAGCCAGCCAGCCATCTATCTCTCATCCTAGCAGGCCAGGCAGCTAGCCATCTAGCTAGCCACGCATCTAGCTGGCCAGCCACCCAGCCAGCCAGCAGCTAGCTAGCTAGCTAGCTAGCTAGCTAGCTAGCTGGGGAGTTACCGATCCTGGAGGCGCAGCGGGAGTTGAGGATCTTCTCGGGCAAGTCGATGGTGTTGGCGACGGCCAAAAGGACCAAACGAGAAGAAGGCCAAAACGGCCAATCAAATAAAGTGTAAAGGACCCGCTGCTTGGGACTCACGAGGCAGTCCACCTCGTCTATCACCAACACGCTGCGCAAACCCTAAACCCTAAACCCTAAACCCTAAACCCTCAACAACAGGCCGCCCGCCTGGTGCACGCGCGGACAAGCAAGCGCGGCCAGGAGCAGCTACACTCACCAGCGACGCAGCAAACACCCCCACAAACCACTAACCACTAACCCTAAACCCTAAACCCTAAACCCTAAACCCTAAACGCGGAACCCGCGGGCGTGAACCTCACATGGGCATTTGGCTGTGCTTGGGCTTCAACCTTTTCTTGGGCAAGCTTGTCTCCTCCTGCCAGCTGTAGTCTGCTGCTGCTCCTGCTGCTGCTGCTGCACCTGTAAAATATCTGTCAAGAGTTGTAAACGCTTGTTGAGGATTTAGGGGTTTGCTGCCGAAGAGCTGTCTGTACACCGCAACGAACACCATGTCCGGGTGCTGCAGCTGCATCGCGTTCAACTCGATGCAGCGAAACGCAGGAACAGCCTGCACACAAACCCTAAACCCTAAACCCTAAACCCTAAACCCTAGCCCTCCAGCCAAACACTGAGCGAGCGAACGCCACAAAACCCGTGTTGTTTTGTCCACTGCAGGAACTCTCCAGCGCTAAACCCTTCACAGCTTCAAGCTCAGCGTCCAAACCCTAAACCCTCAATCTTAAACCCTAAACCCTAAACCCTAAACCCCAAACCCTAAAAGGTGCTTGCCTTGTTCTGCATGTCTTGCTGCAGCGAGCGGAGGACACTTCGCACTGTGGCAGTTTTGCCCGTGCCTGGCAGTCCGCTGATGTCTATGAACAACAACACCCCAAGAGCCAACACAGCTCTAAACCCTAAACCCTAAACCCTAAGCCCTAAACCCTAACTCCTGAAAGCTGAGAGGGAGATAAACACCTACACAGCAACTCTCCTCCTTGCTGCTGGCTTATGCCGGTCAAAATTGTCTGGCGGATCTTTTGGAATTCAGTTGTCCTGCGCGCACCCAAACCCTAAACCCTAAACCTTAAACCCTAAACCCTAAGCCTCAAACAATCTGGGTCCTACAGTTTAAGAGAAACCTCCTTCCTGCCTGTTGGCGACAAGTGTATAGAGACAACCCGCATTAAGGGTTCAGGGTTTGAAAGCACAGGACTTGGGGTCTAGGGTTTAGAGTTTGGCGTCAAGGGTTTAGGGTTCGGGGTCCAGAGCTTAGGGTTTGGAGTCAAGGGCTTGGGGCTCGCGGTCAGTGATCTAGGGTTTGGGGTCAAGAGTCTCAGGCTTGAGTTCAAGGGTTTAGGGTTTGGGGTAAAGGGTCTAGGGTTTGGGGAGAAGGGTTTAGGGTTAGGGTTTAGGGTTTAGCGTTAGGGTTTAGGGTTTGGAACCTGCAAGGAAGACTCGCAGGGACGCTGTCCAGCTGAAGACGGCGGATGGCCCGTTGCACTGGAGTCACTGCGGACAAGCCCCAAACCCTAAACCCTAAATCCTAAACCCTAAACCC